TCACACAAGCCCCTAAAACTTGAGACTCCTTTACCTCCAATTGTTCTTGGGAAGACCCCTAAACCTCCTACTTTTCACTCCTGATTTATACAGCCTCTATTATCCTATCCCTCCTCTCTACATGCCCAAACCACCTTAACACTCCCTCCTCGCCCCTGTTTAATTATACACTTGGTGACCCAACACTGCCTATTAATTTCTATACTTTGAATTATCAGTATATACACACCACACATTGCTCTTGAACATGAGATCTTTACTGCCCTTAGCCTGCAGAAGTACAGAAAATTATTAACCTCTAAATAGCTTCTGGCTCTGACATATATGGTTCGGCAGAATTAAACTCATGTGCTGGTAATACAGTACCTAAATTATATTAAATGCTTTCTTTTTAGAAAAAAGAGAGAATAAAATAATAGAAATCAAATAAGTATTACCTTCTAAGAGATTTATTGCTTCCTCCTTTGATATAGTAATATTTTCTTGGCGCCATGAAGAAGGTCTGCGTGAGCCTGCATGCTTAACCAATAAATGGGAGCACTGCACATGTTCAGGACCACCACTGCTGCTACCTCCTACTGGCTTGGCTGGCTCAGTTGGTGCATCCCACTGGCTTTCTTTGGTATACACATTCAGGTAGTAGGTCTGGCCTGTAATATTTTTAAGACTTAGTTGCTGGAAACATGATTATCCTTCAAGGTGGTGTTCTGATACAGGTAGAGTTATTAATTATAGAAACTGGAACTAGCCTACCCCTCCTCAGATAAAACCTTATTACCTTCCATACCCAAGGCACTGGTGCTTCCCCATTAATACAATTATATATATATATATTTTTTTTTTTTTTTTTTTTTCAACAAGTCGGCCGTCTCCCACCGAGGCAGGGTGACCCAAAAAAGAAAGAAAATCCCCAAAAAGAAAATACTTTCATCATCATTCAACACTTTCACCACACTTGCACATTTTCACTGTTTTTGCAGAGGTGCTCAGAATACAACAGTCTAGAAGCATACACATATAAAGATACACAACATATCCCTCCAAACTGCCAATATCCCAAACCCCTCCTTTAAAGTGCAGGCACTGTACTTCCCATTTCCAGGACTCAAGTCCGACTATATGAAAATAACCGGTTTCCCTGAATCCCTTCACTAAATATTACCCTGCTCACACTCCAACAGATCGTCAGGTCCCAAGTACCATTCGTCTCCATTCACTCCTATCTAACACGCTCACGCACGCTTGCTGGAAGTCCAAGCCCCTTACCCACAAAACCTCCTTTACCCCCTCTCTCCAACCCTTTCGAGGACGACCCCTACCCCGCCTTCCTTCCCCTATAGATTTATATGCTTTCCATGTCATTCTACTTTGATCCATTCTCTCTAAATGACCAAACCACCTCAACAACCCCTCTTCTGCCCTCTGACTAATACTTTTATTAACTCCACACCTTCTCCTAATTTCCACACTCCGAATTTTCTGCATAATATTTACACCACACATTGCCCTTAAACAGGACATCTCCACTGCCTCCAACCGTCTCCTCGCTGCTGCATTTACCACCCAAGCTTCACACCCATATAAGAGTGTTGGTACTACTATACTTTCATACATTCCCTTCTTTGCCTCCATAGATAACGTTTTTTGACTCCACATATACCTCAACGCACCACTCACCTTTTTTTCCCTCATCAATTCATGATTAACCTCATCCTTCATAAATCCATCCGCCGACACGTCAACTCCCAAGTATCTGAAACATTCACTTCTTCCATACCCCTCCTCCCCAATTTGATATCCAATTTTTCTTTATCTAAATCATTTGACACCCTCATCACCTTACTCTTTTCTATGTTCACTTTCAACTTTCTACCTTTACACACATTTCCAAACTCATCCACTAACCTTTGCAATTTTTCTTTAGAATCTCCATAAGCACAGTATCATCAGCAAAAAGTAACTGTGTCAATTCCCATTTTGAATTTGATTCCCCATAATTTAATCCCACCCCTCTCCCAAACACCCTAGCATTTACTTCCTTAACAACCCATCTATAAATATATTAAACAACCATGGTGACATTACACATCCCTGTCTAAGACCTACTTTTACCGGGAAATAGTCTCCCTCTCTTCTACACACCCTAACCTGAGCCTCACTATCTTCATAAAAACTCTTTACAGCATTTAATAACTTACCACCTATTCCATATACTTGCAACATCTGCCACATTGCTCCTCTATCCACTCTTCATATGCCTTTTCTAAATCCATAAATGCAATAAAAACTTCCCTACCTTTATCTAAATACTGTTCACATATATGCTTCAATGTAAACACTTGATCTACAATCCCCTACCCACTCTGAAACCTCCTTGCTCATCCGCAATCCTACATTCTGTCTTACCTCTAATTCTTTCAATTATAACCCTACCGTACACTTTTCCTGGTATACTCAGTAAGCTTATTCCTCTATAATTTTTACAGTCTCTTTTGTCCCCTTTCCCTTTATATAAAAGGGACTATACATGCTCTCCGCCAATCTCTAGGTACCTTCCCCTCTTTCATACATTTATTGAACAAAAGTACCAACCACTCAACACTATATCCCCCCCTGCTTTTAACATTTCTGTCATGATCCCATCAGTACCAGCTGCTTTACCCCCTTTCATTTTACGTAATGCCTCACGTACCTCCCCCACACTTACATTGCTCTTCTTCACTCCTAAAAGATGGTATACCTCCCTGACCAGTGCATGAAATTACTGCCTCTGTTTCTTCCTTAACATTTAAAAGTTCCTCAAAATATTCTCGCCATCTACCTAAATACCTCCATCTCCCCATCTACTAACTCCCCTACTCTGTTTTTAACTGACAAATCCATATTTTCCCTTGGCTTTCTTAACTTGTTTAACTCACTCCAAAATTTTTTCTTATTTTCATTAAAATTTCTTGACAGTGCCTCTCCCACTCTATCATCTGCTCTCCTTTTGCACTCTCTCACCACTCTCTTTACCTTTCTTTTACTCTCCATATATTCTGCTCTTCTTATAACACTTCTGCTTTGTAAAAACCTCTCATAAGCTACCTTTTTCTCTTTTATCACACCCTTTACTTCATCATTCCACCAATCACTCCTTCTTTCCTCCTGCACCCACCCTCCTATAACCACAAACTTCTGCCCCACATTCTAATACTGCATTTTTAAAACTATTCCAACCCTCTTCAACCCCCCCATTATCATCTTTGCACTATCCCACCTCTCTGCCAATAGTCGCTTATATCTCGCCCGAACTTCCTCCTCCCTTAGTTTATACACTTTCACCTCCCTCTTACTTGTTGTTGCCACCTTCCTCTTTTCCCATCTACCTCTTACTCTAACTGTAGCTACAACTAAATAATGATCCGATATATCAGTTGCCCCTCTATAAACATGTACATCCTGGAGCCTACCATCAACCTTTTATCCACCAATACATAATCTAATAAACTACTTTCATTACGTGCTACATCATACCTTGTATATTTATTTATCCTCTTTTTCATAAAATATGTATTACTTATTACCAAATTTCTTTCTACACATAGCTCAATTAAAGGCTCCCCATTTACATTTACCCCTGGCACCCCAAATTTACCTATATATATATATATATATATATATATATATATATATATATATATATATATATATATATATCTCTTCTTCTTCTTTCAACGTACCAGCCGTTTTCCCCTGAGGTGGGCCCAAAATTGGACTTCCCCAATGCAAAAACTTCCACAACAGGCAGGGGGTCAACAGGGACAGGGTTCTGCTAAAACCCTTAAAAAAACCCTCTGGATCGGTTCCTCATTTATTTACCAAAGGCTTGCATGGGTTTTCCTTGGTCCATGATGATTATTTAGCAGTTGCAAGCACAAAAAACAATGGAGTATTATGAAATGTATTGTATAAAACCATGGGGTGAGGGTCACGCGTTGGTAAACAATGGCACACTGAGCGTGAGTGGTGGGGGGAACTGGCTTGGGTGCGCGGTGACGGGCAAAACGGGTCCCGGGGACGGTCGCCGAAACACGATCTAACCCACGAAACTCGAGGCCAAATTTTTGCAAAAAAAAACTTGCCGAAGGTCAAATTTAACGAAACTCGATGCTGCCGAAACTCGAGGGTCCATGTATATTTAGGCAACGTACTTGTAATAGAGACACTCCCCCAAAGAACAGTTTCCTATGGCCCATAGGAAAGTGTCCATACAAGTTTCTTCTTTTTTAAAAACAGCCATTTCCCACCAAGGTGGGTGACCCAAAAGAAAACCCATTTACCATCATTCATTCAACTGCTAGTCTTGCTAGAAGTGTGCTGACATCAGAATTTGGAGCACCCTCTGCAACATCTCCACCTTCCTCCATAGTGGCAGTTACTGCCCTTTCCATCTTCAGGACATAAATCTAAGAAAATCGGTTCCCTGAACTCCTTCATAAAGTTACCTTGTTCACACTCCAATAGCATGTCCTTTAAAAAAACGGTTTATCTCCATTCATTCCTATCAAACACACTCACACAAGCCCTAAAAACTTGGGGACTCCTTTACCTCCAATTGTTCTTGGGAAGACCCCTAAACCTCCTACTTTTCACTCTGATTTATACACCCTTTCTATTATTCCTATCCCTCCTCTCTACATGCCCAAACCCCCTTTAAACACTCCCTCCTCGCCCCTGTTTAATTATACACTTGGTGACCCAACATTTGCCTATTAATTTCTATATTTTGAATTATCAGTTATACACACCACACATTGCTCTTGAACATGAGATCTTTACTCCCCTTAGCCTGCAGAATTACAGAAAATTATTAACCTCTAAATAGCTTCTGGTCTGACATATATGGTTTTGGCAGAATTAAACTCATGTTGGCTGGTAATACAGTACCTAAATTATATTAAATGCTTTCTTTTTAGAAAAAAGAGAGAATAAAATAATAGAAATCAAATAAGTATTACCTTCTAAGAGATTTATTGCTTCCTCCTTTGATATAGTAATATTTTCTTGGCGCCATGAAGAAGGTCTGCGTGAGCCTGCATGCTTAACCAATAAATGGGAGCACTGCACATGTTCAGGACCACCACTGCTGCTACCTCCTACTGGCTTGGCTGGCTCAGTTGGTGCATCCCACTGGCTTTCTTTGGTATACACATTCAGGTAGTAGGTCTGGCCTGTAATATTTTTAAGACTTAGTTGCTGGAAACATGATTATCCTTCAAGGTGGTGTTCTGATACAGGTAGAGTTATTAATTATAGAAACTGGAACTAGCCTACCCCTCCTCAGATAAAACCTTATTACCTTCCATACCCAAGGCACTGGTGCTTCCCCATTAATACAATTATTTATATATATATATATATAATATATATATATATATATATATATATATATATATATATATATATATATATATACATACATACATATATATATACACATACATATACACATACATATACACATACATATACACATACATATACACATACACACACACATACATACACACACATCCTAGGTAGTAGGTTGGTAGACAGCAACCGCCCAGGGAGGTACATGTACTACCGTCCTGCCAAGTGAGTGTAAAATGAAAGCCTGTAATTGTTTTACATGATGGTAGGATTGCTGGTGTCCTTTTTTTCTCTCATAAACATGCAAGATTTCAGGTATGTCTTGCTACTTCTACTTACACTTAGGTCACACTACACATACATGTACAGTGGACCCCCGCATAACGATATTATTTCAATCCAGAAGTCTGTTTGGGTGCCGTTATAGACTGAATTTGTTCCCATAAGAAATATTGTGAATTAGATTAGTCCATTTCAGACCCCTAAAAATACACCTACAAAAGCACTTACAAAAATAAACTTACATAATTGGTCGAGTTGGGAGCTGATCGTTATCCAGGAGTCCACTGTACAAGCATATATATACACACACCCCTCTGGGTTTTCTATTTTCTTTCTAGTTCTTGTTCTTGTTTATTTCCTCTTATTTCCATGGGGAAGTGGAACAGAATTCTTCCTCCGTAAGCCATGCGTGTTGTAAGAGGAGACTAAAATGCCAGGAGCAAGGGGCTAGTAACCCCTTCTCCTGTATAAATTACTAAATTTAAAAAGAGAAACTTTTGTTTTTCTTTTTGGGCCAACCTGCCTCGGTGGGATACGGCCGGTTTGTTGAAAGAAAAAGATATATACGTACCTGCATGTACTGTATATCATAATGAACTTCAATAGAAACAATGTTTGACTAATAGGTTATATTAAAGTCATGTCTATAAAAGTTAATATGCATGACCAATGTAAAATTTAATTTTCTATTGGACTTGAATAAAAACTTTCGGGTAGGAGCAGCAAAATAATTTCTTTGTGATCACATAACAGGTATATACGAAATGCTCTGCAACTGCCACATGCTCCCTGTACTTATTGTTGTTATATTATGGAAGTGCTAAATTCATAGGAGTCATACAGTGCCTAGGGAATGAGGAATGGGAGGCAATCAGGTTTGATTCAAGTGAATTGCAACTACAATTCCCCTGGTTCAAGATCCCTTCATTGGCATCAAGGAACTTCTTTTAAAGGGTCCTGGGCTAAGGCTTACAACCACTACCCTGTGGAAGTTGGGCACTAGTTTCAATTTTACAATGCTGTACATAAAATTATGTAAACCATGGAATAAATATTTCTTATGCAAGTCATTTTGGGAGATACAGTGGACCCTCTGTTATCACCCGTAATCCGTTCCAGAAGGTCAGCCTAAATCCAAAAAGGCTGAAAACCGAAATAATATTTCCCAAAAGAATTAGTGTAAATACAATTAATCCTTTCCAGACACCCAAAAATATTAACAAAAAATACATTTTTTGAAGATTAACTATAGTTTAACATACACAAAACAATGAGAACTAAATAAAATGACTAATGAAATGGATAAATGAATACAACTTTTACCTTTAACCCTTTGACTGTCGCAACCCCAAATCCTGAAGTGTCTCCTGGTGTCGCAAAATATTTGAAAAAAAAAAAAAAAAAAAAAAAAACATCTAACGAAATGCTAGAGAATCTTTTCTCGATGATGACACCAAAAGTACAAAATTTGATGGAAAACTTATGGAATTACGCTCTCGCGAATTAGCGACCACGACGACATTTACACATTGCCGATTTCGCCCACTTTGAGCCCTATTTTCGGTCAATTCCACTGTTCCAGTCCACCAAACTCACAGCTATTTCTTTAGAACTCCATTTGTTCTATCAACTGAGTACAAGAAACCACCCATTTACCGATTTGAACTACCCAATAAAGTGGTCAGAAATTGGCAATTTCACCAATTTCATGCAAATGAAAAAATTTCAATTTCAAAATAGGGTCCAGAATGAACAATACAGACATTCCAGGCAGTAAATTAACATTTTCTCTATTCATCAGTCACATCTCCAGGCCCCTGTTATAATTCTCTTGCTTTCTATTTTGAATCTTTATTCACACAAAAAATAGAAGATTTACTGTTATGCAGACTACTGCAATACTGTAATAATTGTATAAATAACAGCAACCCATTCGTGAATGCATATTAGAATGGCTAGTTGGACATTTATTGGACATTTGTTTACTCTTGAACGTCGGCAAAAATCGAGCATTTCTGCTACTTTGAGCTCCATTTCAAGATCCTTTTCATATTAAAACCAATCAACATCATTCTATTTCCATAATATGTTTTCCATTCTATCAAATGAGACCAAGAAAACAAGAATACAACCATAAATACTATATGAAAATACACCTCAAAGTCGGCGTTTTAATCCAAAAAAAAAGGTAGGAGTTTTTTTTTTCTCATTATGCACTGCGTGCTGCACGATTTTTTGATACTGCGCACACTGACCACACAGACCCATTCTCTCACATGTGGGCCTACCAGCTTTCTCATGCTTGATTTGAAGCCGCTAGAATTTTTTAGTATATACATGTCAAACACAATGGCTCGTAAGACGTATGTATACGACCAAAACAGTCAAAGGGTTAATGAAGACTTGGTAGCGCTAATATCAAATCTACGGCTTATTTATCTATCACAATTCATCTAATATGACATAATAAACAATATTAATAACAAAGAAACATGATATATACTCTAGAATGAATAAAATACGTCATTATGTATTTGACTAGTGGTAGTGGTAGCGGTGGTGGTGGTGTTGGGTTCATCAGCGCCACCGACAGCATAAGCCGTATAGTGGTGGCTGTGACAGCGGCAGTGGCCACCACCACTAGTCACACAACTAATCACACTGAAACAATGTACATAATTTATAAATAAGAAATATTGTATAAAAACATAATAGAGAAAGTAAAGTGGTTATTGTGGAGAATGTAAAGAAATAAAGTGGTTATTGAGATGCTGGCAGAGGTTTAGGGTGGTGGAAGATATGCAGGGCAGCATATGTTGTCAGTGGCCCTATATACCTCCAACAACACTGGAGAAGTTACTTTCGAGTCGTCCTTTTTCTTTAGCTTAATCGCTTAACATATGTGCTACACTGTTAATTTTACACTTTATTGCTGGCTGGCACTATAGCCTTTATCGATTCCTGCTGCTTTAGTATCGTACATATCGTAGAATAATTGAAGAAGGCACATTTTCCCCTCTCTCTCAGCCCTTTACCAAAGGGCTGGCACTAGGAACTTTCTTTGGGCCCATAGTGACTTATTTCGCAGTTGCATTCAAACAACCGCGAAAAACAACGGATTATAACGAAATGTTTGGATGAATGCATGGAGTGTTGCTCACTCACTGAGACACACAGCCAGACTGACTGACACACACAAGGAGGACAGACACGTCCAATATGGCCGATTTCCGAGTTGCCGGCCAAAATCCAGGATAGAATTTCGGCCAAAAAAGCTGCTGAAATCCGATTTGGCCGATATCCAACGGTACATATTAGCAAAAATAACACATTTACAGTATTTTGGTTGCACAGTATGTCTGAGCCAATCAATCTTTAATATTAATTGCTATGCACCTGACTAAATGTAAATAAAGGCATGCCAGTACCATGGTGAAGTAAGGTTAAGTGAAACAGATGGACAGGGTCATCTTACTGATCAATATGCTCGTGTTACAAGAGATTAAAGGATAAGAAAAGCTAAACTACATTATGAAATTAAAATAAAAAAGGAATTATAGACAAATTTAGAAGTTTTTTCCAATTCCGTATAGAGAACAAATATTAAGAGAAAAGTTAGGTCCACTTGAAACAAAATCTGGATGGCTTACTGACAAAGAAACAGAAATGTGCTAGATTTTTTAAATTTCCTTTCAATTTCACATAAGACAAACACTATTCTGGTAATCAATTATTATAATATTATAATAGACTTGAGAAAAATAAATACAATATCAGTCACTACTGATATGATTACATTGGCCAACACTTTATAAATGTGTTTCTAACTAAATTTGGGGTGAATTAAAATCTGAATTTGGTACTGCCCCAACAGTTTGTGAAAAAAATCCCACAGTGAAAGATTTCATCAAGACAATCATCATAGCAACAAGATAGAGTGGTACCTTGGTATGTGTCCTTAATCCATTCCAGGACCTTGGACTTAAACCAAACGAATTTTCCCATAAGAAATACAGTGGACCCCCGGTTAACGATATTTTTTCACTCCAGAAGTATGTTCAGGTGCCAGTACTGACCGAATTTGTTCCCATAAGAAATATTGTGAAGTAGATTAGTCCATTTCAGACCCCCAAACATACACGTACAAACGCACTTACATAAATACACTTACATAATTGGTCGCATTCGGAGGTAATCGTTATGCGGGGGTCCACTGTATAGGGAAAACGATTAATCCGTTCCCATGAAAAAAATCCTATTGTTATTGGCATATACATTGACGGGGTAGTATAAAATAATTTAAACACTGCTTAATACTAAAATATGTATGTAAGTAATTTAAACACTGGTTAATACTAAAATAAGTACATACATAAATACAAAAGAATTAGGTGAAATAAATGCAAATTTAACCCCACTTTACTTTGGTGAAAAGAGTCGAGTGCCTACTAGGGTAGTGCTGAGAAGGAAGGAGGAGGAACTCTTGTTTGGAAGGAGAGTCCCCTTCGCTTTTCCCTATTTGGACCTGGGTAAAGCT